AAGCTTTTAGACTCATTTCCAAAATTAGCAAGTATGGCTTGAATAAGAATTGTGCTATAAATGCCAACGATAATTAACTTCAGTACTAGAGTATTTTTTAAAAAACATTTAAAGTCTGTGTATTTAGGAGGTGTTACAGTAATTCTTGATAGGTATGTATAACATATGTATAACCACAGGAGCTCTAGAAGATCTTGGTACCGCAATTTACCATAAACAAGATTACTTCCTTGAAAGCTCTCTAGTACTTTGAAACACAGCTGGGCAAAACACACCTGCTTATCGATTTTCCCAATACTTTAATAGATATTTCAGTTCAAGCCAATGAGTCAGAACAAAAACTGCGAACATTCCAGTAAAATTTGGTTGCAGTGTATTAGGGTTTTACTTTCACCTACGTTTTCTGTACTGTGCCTCCCTCCACAGCCCCACACACAAGTACGTGCAAAAAGCCCCTATCAACTCTCTGAAACTCATCACTTATTGATCTATCATTTTGCGATATTGAGCCTGTGTCCATATAATGATACCCAACAGAGACCACTCTAACTGGACAAGGCATGGAATTAACAGTAATTAAAAAAAAAAAGACTCCCAAAAACCAGACTCACGCACAAAAAACCCAAAACAAACAAAAACAAAACATTAAGTTAATCAGTACTAGAATATTTTTTAAAAAACATTTAAAGTCTGTGTATTTAGGAGGTGTTACAGTAATTCTTGATAGGTATGTATAACATATGTATAACCACAGGAGCTCTAGAAGATCTTGGTACCGCAATTTACCATAAACAAGATTACTTCCTTGAAAGCTCTCTAGTACTTTGAAACACAGCTGGGCAAAACACACCTGCTTATCGATTTTCCCAATATTTTAATAGATATTTCAGTTCAAGCCAATGAGTCAGAACAAAAACTGCGAACATTCCAGTAAAATTTGGTTGCAGTGTATTAGGGTTTTACTTTCACCTACGTTTTCTGTACTGTGCCTCCCTCCACAGCCCCACACACAAGTACGTGCAAAAAGCCCCTATCAACTCTCTGAAACTCATCACTTATTGATCTATCATTTTGCGATATTGAGCCTGTGTCCATATAATGATACCCAACAGAGACCACTCTAACTGGACAAGGCATGGAATTAACAGTAATTAAAAAAAAAAAGACTCCCAAAAACCAGACTCACGCACAAAAAACCCAAAACAAACAAAAACAAAACAAAGGAAAAAAAAAAACCACCCAACCCCACACACCAAACCCTTAAACACATGTTATCTTCTATCCACATATCAAACTAATAGATAATATTGGAGGAAGAGAGGTCAAGTGACTAAAGCCACAGAAGTCTGCAGCAGAATCAAGACCGGAAACCACGTATTATATATTACTAACAAACCAGAAGGGAACATGCTGCTTATTCTCAAAAACAACCCTGAAGACCTAGTCAATCAAGACTCCCGCATTCTTTTTAAATACTTATTTTAAATGTAAACAGAAGTGACTGATAACACAGTAACACTCATATCTTAAATAGCTGGGTATGCCTAGTAAGGTTGGGGATGTTTTTTCATTCATTTTTTATTGTAAATCTTTCTGTACTTACCTGACAGAACCTCAGCCCAGGACTTTAGAGTTCCATTTCCCTGCTACAGTTGATGACACGAGAACACTCTAAAGAAAGCATGGAAGGAGGCTCCCTGGAGCAACTAAAACAGTGCTAATGATGTCATCAACATTCTGAGGTGGAAAGATCTTAATGACCATCTTAACTTCAGTTTGCAACATTTCTAATGAAGATGATTTCTACAGTATCCGTAAGATTAAGACTGCCTAAATTTGTCCTCTTCACCACCACCACCCCCAAAAAAAGCCCATTGCAATGGATTGTTCATATGTGTAATCCCATTCTGAGTGTTCAGAGACCAAACATTCCTTTTAACCTGTTTAAAACAGAAGTCATTGCTGTATTTTTGGGAAGAAGTGATGGCTAATCACTCCCCACAGAAACAGAGTTCTAGAAGCAAAGAATCATAGAATCATAGAACAGCCCAGGTTGGAAGGGACCTCGAAAGATCATCTGGTCCACCCTTTCGAGGGAAAGGGAGCCTAGATAAGATTATCTAGCACCCTGTCCTACTGCATCTTTAAAACTTCCAGCAATGGGGGACTCCATCATGTTCCTGAGGAGGTTGTTCCAGTGAATGATTGTTCTCACTATTAAAAAATAAGTAAGTAAATAAAAAATTCCTTTCTCATGTCGAGATGAAACTTCACCCAGCGCAACTTCTACCCGTTGTCCCTTGTCTTCTCCAAGTGGCTCTTTGGGAACAGAGAGCCTCCGTCCTCTTTGTAGCTGTCCTCTAATATGGGGAGAAATCATTGCAATAAACCCACGATTGAGAATAGTTCTTTCCCTAGAAATTCTGTCGTCTTTCTCAAGAATCAAAGGAATCGTATGCGAGAAAAAATTCCTGAGGTGCCAAGAACCAACTCTTCCACAGGAATTAATTTAAATTAAAGGAGCTCAGGAACTCTCAGTATTTTACTCCTAAATTATTTCTCATTTAGATGTTTAATTGCTGCACTCTTCCCTGATTTCTATTTGTAAACTACACTGGTATTTGTTTTTCCCCTTTGTCTTAACATTGTACCCATCACCAAAACTGGATTGAAACTGCTTATATGCAAACATATGCTTTAGAGTACAGATTTTCTTGTTTCCGAGTGACTTAACTAAACCAAAATTAATTTTACAATGCCAGGTCATACAAATAACCAGTAGGCAATAAGTAAAACAAAAATAAACAAATAAATAATAAAATAAATAAAAGAACAAGCACACGTGTTTTAAGATTTCCTCAATTCTCCATAGAAGAAATTTGTATTTGCAGTCTTTAAAGACTAAGCTATTTGAGAAAGGAATTAGGTAGCAATATATTTCACAACATATGCATCCAATCATTATTACAGAATATCATCCCAAAACTAAATTGATACTAGGTCTCAAAATTTAGAAAAACGGTTATTTGAAGCAGAGGGAACAAATGCAATAAAAGTATGTTAGAAGCAGGATCAAACTTGAGGAGGTTGAAAAGAAACTTCCAGCTTCCTCAAATCTCTACGTTGTTCAGAAGACATCCTGTATGTTTGTACTACAGCACCCGCTCAGCAACACAGGTTTTGGCTACCCTGGCACTGGCAGCATGTGGTATTCTTCCCTCTTTGGCTCATTAGGTTCAGATAATCAACTTGGAAAAAGAGCAGACACATCCCTTAAAACTCCGCTGGCAACCCACAAAGCACCCAGTTAAGGTATCGAAACGAGAAATAAACTGAATGAGGTTTTCCTAATATAGTTACCCTGCTTCTTGCAAAGCCTGATAAAATGAAAACTAATTTTGGCACTTCAGTCATTTCAAATTATCACAGTAGTGACTTCTCTATGACTATGCTCTAAAATGGACTGAAAAGAAACAAGTCTTTATTTTTCCCCAAAGCCACAGGGCTATCTATAAAGCTCCTCAAATTCTAGTGTGGTTTCAACTTGGTTTCTTTTTTCTGTTCTCACCCCACACCCTCCTTTCAAACAGGTTTTCAAACTTTATTCTGTCCCCTTCTAAAATACAGCAATTCGTGTCTGACCAAGATCTAAAAAAGTTCACTGTCAAGGTACATTCTAAAGAGTGCTTGCAGTGGTTTTTTTTACTTATTATTATTAATCATGAGGTTGTTCCTGGTGACTTCCACTGCTGCCAGATAAACTTTTGAACAAAAATTACTTTTGCATTTAAAGTTTTCTGGTTTGCACAATGGAAGCATGAAGGCTTTTATGCACAGTAGTGGTTGCTAAGAGTTCAGAAACTGGCAGCATCTGACATGAATTTTTTTCTGCTTCAGCTACATTTACATCTATTCCACAATACCCTGCCCTGCTCTTGCTGGATTTTTAAAAAGGTAAACTAGAAAACAATGAAAGTTCTGAAGCAGTTAGGTAGCAACGTGTGAAGTACAACCAAAACAGCAGCGACAAAAAAGAACTAATAATTAAGCCCCCGAGTTAAGAGGTATTTGCTTTCCTTCCTTCCCACTGTAATCACAGCTACCTTGTAAGACAAAGTCTATGATCAACAGCATCCTCATCCCTTCTTGAAAACACCAGAACTTCCCTGAGTCCTATATCCAGAAAACTCCACTACTGAAAGTATTTTGATATAGGTTGATGATGCAGAGAAATTAAAATAAAAAAAAAAAGAAAAAGAAAAAAAAAAGAGGTGAAATCAGAACTGAAAAGTATGTTCTAGGGTCATATAAAATCCATAGCAAGAAAGGCACAAGGAAACAGTAATAGTTGTGCCTATCTGATACAGAGCTTCACTTTTCTCCCCCTGCCCTTTTTGAATTGCAGCCATGTATAGCAACTCACTGTTCCACAACTCTTTTGCATGCCTTTTATCACAATTCAGCATTAACATTCTTTTAGAAGAGATTAATAATGTATGTGCAATAATGTATTTTAACTACTTGAATACTAAAAAAAAAAAAAAAAGTCTTTTTTTTTAATTCTTTACTGAAAATAGCACAAGATGAAATCCATGAGGAGAAGTGATGGGGAGTCTACAAACTACTGTAAAGCAGGCCAATCTGACACACAGTTTACAAGAATTACATTAGTTTACTAATGTTCCAATATTAAATTAACCTTATAATCACAAGTACTGGAGGTCTGAATTTATGATACAGAACATTCCAGTGTTAATAATTCTGATATCAATTGTAGTAACGTGAAAATTTTGTTTAATGTAATCGCTCAAACAGCAAACTAACTACATTAATCTCAATTCACCCACCAAATTTGATCCCCATGTGGTTTATACCCCCCTTCCACCCACACACTGAAAGACAACCGCCCCCCCATCTGAGCCATACCCATGTATAATACACAGAACATAACTGATACAAAAACTCACTTTCACTGGACAACATCTAAAATATGTAAATACCTGTTCCTGCAGGTCGTAGTCATAGCTATCATGCAGCAGAAGACTGAGGACATACCGAGTATAAATCATGGCATCAATGCCACACTTCTCTAGCTCTTGTCCCAGCCAGGTCTGCACTGGACCCAAAGCATGTAGCAGAGACATTTCAGAAACAGATACAGGGCCTGGATAAGAGCTTGAGGAGCTTTCAGATGGCAAACCATCCACAACAACTGTACAGATAGGGCGCATGAATCTAGGTGGTTGGCATCCTTATAACGTGAAGCATTTTCTGTAGTTGATATTCCGTCGATATCTGGAGGTGATTTTCACTCCAGTAAATAGGAGGGAGGCTTGACTTCTAGGACAATCATTTATATTTCCTGGCAGTTAGCCGTCTAGGGATGAACATCACTCTTCAGGCATGACCAGTGAATAAACTAAATCCTAATAGCAAACACATATGTAGATGTGTTTTTCTACCTTAATTTCACATTGAGGCCAGATGCAAGTCCCCAGCAGGACCTATAAAGAGGAAAAAATAATAAGTTGTGATAATATGTATCCATACATGAATAATATTAAACAGTGAAAAAAACACCCAATGTAGAAAGCAGTCATTTACATACTGCTTAATCCACATATATAGTACACCTATTCAGTGTCATTTTGAAGAGTAACAGGAATTATTCCAAGTTTAAAGGTGACTTTTAGAAAAGGTACTTTTTAATGCAGGAAGAGAGACTCTTTCATCAAAGACTTCACAACTAATCCGTTGATTGAAATATATGTTTGACCTAGCTTTATGGGAAAGTTGAGATCTTATTACTTTCACTATCAGCTGAAAAAAAAACACTTTGATTAACAAAAAAAAAATCTATGTTAGTTTGCATAAAGACTGACTGTATATTTTGCATCACTAGAAGACAATATAATCCTACTGGTTTGCAGTGATTTCCCTTTCTGGAAAAGAAAAAAAGTGTCTTGTTTATAAAACACTGAATTTATGAAATTCATCTGGCCAGGAGTTTCATAAATTCTACCACTAAATAGTTGCTATCTTCAGACTTCAGGTTTTGGGGTTTTTTTTTTTAGTTTCAATATTTGCCGTGCCTCAGGACAGCAAAGCATTTTATCATCCAAAATCTGTCCTCATAAAAATATAAATCTCTGGAATAACTTAAAAAATTTGAGCAAAACATAATTTATCAGTGCCGGAATTAACATTTAACCCTCTTTACAGAAAGCATACGCCAGTCTTACCTGAGAGCTTACACTCTAAACCATATCCTAAAATAAGACAAACCACCCTAAGACTTATACCACCCACAATCCCAAATCAGTATCGATAAGCAAGGGGCAGAAGGTGCAAGCACCACACACATAGGCATTTTGCCCTCTAACCCAGAAGAAGCCAGTCCAAAAAAGGCATTTTTGGACTGGTATGTTGATCAACCACATGCCAATCTGGCATTTGTGTAGGCCTTCTCTCTCCTCTCCAGTTTCTCATCAACAGAAAACAAAGCTCAAATCCTAGCAGGAAAGATCCATTCACTGAAAGGAAACAAAGACTAAAGGATCTAAGCAAAATCTACTGTTTTGTTTCAACCCCACTGCAAGATGACCAACACACTCAAAACAGACGTCACCTAATATAACTATTTCAACTATATACTGTATGCAGCATTTTGCATGGGCAGCATGTGTTGTGTGGCCAAAGTTGAAAGGTTACAGTTGATACCTATGTCCACACAACAAAAGATCGTAGTTTTTAGGAGCTTTCTTTGCATCACCAGCCAGGTACAACTGTATATTCCAGATCTTTACTGAGTCAATTGCGACATCATCAAAAAGAAACCCATTATAATCAGTTGCTACAGAGCTGACAAAACTCTGCTCTACACTACGCTTACTTCTCTGATGGCAATGTTCATTTTGAGAAAGTAACACAAGAGTATTCAATCTTTGCCAGTAACATGTTTGTATTAGTCAGAATCTCTTAAGTAAGCACAAATAACAGTAGGTAGAAACATCCTGCAAAGGGCCTGGAGGTTACTGCTTCATCACGTAATTAGAGAACAGAAACTATGAGAAAAGTCTAATATTGTAACCAAGATACTCCAAATCGAGAGCCACAAGTCCAAACTCTTATGCAGTCTATATTCTTAATTGTTGAAGAACAACATTCCACTCAAACATCTATTTTGTCCTCCTGTTGGTACTCCACATCACAGCATGTGATGAACACTCTCCCTAAGTCAATGCCACAATCCCAGTCAGCCCCCTAAACCCCATGTTTCAAAGATCTGGGAACACTGACACTCCATTTGTCTTTTTTGAGACACAGAGCAGAACTACCTGAATGTTCAGGAAATCAACAACTTTGACAGAGCTGACAAAGTTACACTGGAAAGGGGAATTATGAAAGGGTAGATGGAGAGGAAAATCGGGGGGGAAAAAGCAAGAAAGTGACCAAACGAGAAATTAATGTATTCTAATTCAGCAGGTCTCCCATAATCTTTTCTTTTACAAAGTGTACAGAGAATGGAGACGGACAGCAACCACACATTCCAAGTAGTCTTTGGTTTGCAAAGATACCATCAAAAACAGTCAAAAGAGGTTGGATGGAGAGCACTTGGTTAAGGTGATCACGTTTTTCATTTGAGGTTTTGAGTATCCAATACAGCAAAGCAATGGGCTTCTGGAAATTGAGTTACTTCAATCAAAAGTGACTGCATCAGTGGACAACGGAAGAGCTATAGATGTCACCTACCTAAACTTCTGTAAGGCCTTTAACACGGTCCCACACAACATCCTTGCCACTAAATTGCAGAGATATGGATTTGATGGATGTACTATTAGATGGATAAGGAATTGGCTGGATGGCCATGTCCGAAGAGTTACAGTCAATGGCTCAATGTCCAAGTGGAAACCAGTAATGAGTGGTGTCCCTCTAAGGTCCACACTGGGACCAACACCATTTAATACCTTCATCAAGGACATAGTGGGATTGAGCGCACCCTCCGCAAGTTCGCAGGTGACACCAAGCTGAGTGGTGTAATGGATTTGCTTGAGGGAAGGGATGTCATCCAGAGGGACCTTGACAGGCTTGAGGAGTGGGCCCATGCAAACCTCATTAAGTTCAACAAGGCCAAGTGCAAGGTCCTGCACATGGGTCGGAGCAATCCCCAGTATCAATTCAAATTGGGGGATGAATGGATTGAGAGCAGCCTGGCAGAGAAGGACTTGGGGATATTGGTAGATGAAAAATTGGACATGAGCCAGAGCTTGCAGCCCAGAAAGATTGGGGGATATGGATTGAGAGCAGCCTGGCAGAGAAGGACTTGGGGATATTGGTAGATGAAAAATTGGACATGAGCCAGCAACGTGTGCTCGCAGCCCAGAAGGCCACTTGTATCCTGGGCTGCATCAAAAGAAACGTTTAGAGCAAATTCAGAGGAGGGCCACAAAAATCATCACAGGGATGGAATACCTCTCCTATGAAGAAAGGTTGAGAGGGCTGGGGTTGTTCAGCCTGGAGAAGAGCAGGCTTCGGGGATAGTTTATTGCAGCCTTTCAATACTTAAAGAGGGCTTATAAGAAGCCCTTATAAAGAGGGCTTATAAGAAGAAAGATGGGGACAGACTTTTTATGAGGGCCTGTAGTGACAGGACAAGGGACAATGGTTTTAAACTGAAAGAGTTTATGATCGGACATAGGAAGACATTTTTTACAATGAGGGTGGCGAGACACTGGAACAGCTTGTCCAGAGAAGTTGTGGATGACCTATTTGAAGTGTTCAAGGTCAGGCTGGACAGGGCTTTGAGCAACCTAATCTAGTGAAAGATGTCCCTGCCCAGAGTAGGGGGGGTTGGACTAGATGATCTTTAAAGGTTCCTTCCAACACAAACCATTCTATGGTTCTATGATATAGCAAAGCAAAGGGCTTCTGGATACTGAGTCACTTCAATCAAAACTTACTTAGACACATGGTTTAGATCCTTAGCACCTAGTAAGGACTGAGTTTATGCTTCAGTTTTTCCCTGAATGAGGTGATATGTGGCCTCTCTTTTCTTCCTTAATACTTACTTTCATGAGGCATTTGAGAAATTCGGTTCTTGAGACCTAGGCTGACAAAATCTGATTTACTTTGGCTTACCAGTTAAAGCGTGTCTTGGTTTTTTTAGATGGGGAGGAGAGGAGAGAGACAGCAAGAGAGAGACAGGTTATCACAGGAATTAAGCAGCTCTGGAGCCCTCAGCATAAGAAAGAAATACTTACTTTCATGAGGCATTTGAGAAATTCGGTTCTTGAGACCTAGGCTGACAAAATCTGATTTACTTTGGCTTACCAGTTAAAGCGTGTCTTGGTTTTTTTAGATGGGGAGGAGAGGAGAGAGACAGCAAGAGAGAGACAGGTTATCACAGGAATTAAGCAGCTCTGGAGCCCTCAGCATAAGAAAGACACAGACCTGTTAGAGCAGGTCCAGAAGAGGGCCACAAAAATGATCGGGGGATGGAACACCTCTCCTGTGAAGAAAGGCTGAGACAGTTGGGGTTGTTCAGCCTAGAGAAGAGAAGGCTTTGGGGAGACTTTCTTGCAGCCTATCAGTACTTAAAGGGGGCTTATAAAAAAGACGGCGGAAAACTTTTTAGCAGGGCCTGTTGCGACAGGACAAGGGGGAATGGCTTTAAACTAAAGGGGGGTAGATTTAGACCAGATAGAAGGAAGACATTTTTTACGCTGAGGGTGGTGAAACACTGGCACAGGTTGCCCAGAGAGGTGGTGGATGCCCCATCCCTGGAAACATTCAAGGTCAGGTTAGACGGAGCTCTGAGCAAGCT